AGTCTGAATTACATCACAGCACATATAAGAAGTAAAGCCTGGGCCCCGCACCGTAGCCTAATGGCTGGAATCCTTGCATACGCCAGGATCGGCGCAGCTCCGGCCATTATGGCCACTTGCGGAGTGAGTCAAAATACGGAAGATCTTTCTTTCTGTCTCTCCTCTCTGTATATCTGACTTTGCAATGAAAATAAATCTTGAAAAGAAAAAAAAAGTAAGGCCTAACACACTTGCATAACTTCACACACACCTGGAGTCTAATGGGAAGACAGGCTGGCCAAAGGAATGAAGTCAAACGACCTCATCTGGGCCCGCCCCAGTAGCCTAGCAGCTAAAGTCTTCACCTTGCACACACCGGGATCCCATGTGGATGCTAGTTCTAATCCTGGCAGCCCCATTTCCCATCCAGTTCCCTGCTTGTGGTTTGGCAAAGCAGTTGAGGACGACCCAAAGCCTTGGGACTCTGCATCCATGTGGGAGACCCAGAACAGGCTCCTGGCTCCTGGCTTCGGATCAGCTCAGCTCCGGCAGTTGTGGCCGCTTGGTGAGTGAATCAACAGACCGGAGATGTTCTTCTCTGTCTTTCCTCCTCTCTACCTATCTGATTTTACAATAAAATTAAACAAACCTTTAAAAGAAAAAAATTACCTCATCTGAAGAGTCCTTGAAAGTGATTTTTGCTTCTTTAAGTTTCAGGACTCTAACAATTCACTCCCCAAGTGGCTGCAAAGGCCAGAACTGAGCCGATCCGAAGCCAGGAGCTCAGAGCTTCTGCTTAAAACTAAAGAAATTCATTTATACCCTGATTTATAGTATAAACACTTGTGCATCTTCATTTTATGAAAACTCATCAGTAGCCAAGATAATTGGAAGAGCACAAAGTTTAGATCTTGAAAAATAATGACATTGGTGCTATAGCCACCACAGCAGCGCTCTGTGCCAGCACTGAAATCAATCTGAATCTCCTCGCTTTGCATGCCAATAAATTAGGAGTATGTGAATAACCTCATTCCCAACACTCAGAAAATAACTCCAGGACATATTTTATTGGTGACATACTGCCCCAAAGTAAACAGAGGAACATGATCATGGTGAAGGCAGCAAGCAATAATTTAGCAGCAATCCACATGATTCAGTAAACTTTTGAGGATTACACTAGTCAATCCTCCACAAGAAGGAAGTTAAGTCAGATGATCCAAATACAACTATTTTCATCTATGTGGCAGTGTTACAGCAGAAGAGGGTGATCCAGTCCCCAATCCATTGAGTACCAAAAATACAGCCAGGGCTGAAGCAGGTGACATGACAGAGAGCTGCAAGATTATAGGACAAGAGACCCCCATCAACAGCGATTCTGGGCCTGGCGCGGTAGCCTAGCAGCTAAAGTCCTCACCTTGCAGGCACTGGGATCCATATGAGTGCTGGTTCGTAACCCAGCTACTCCACTTCCCATCCAGCTCCCTGCTTATGGCCTGGGAAAGCAGTAGATGATGGCCCAAATCCTTGGGACCCTGCACCTTTGTAGGAGATTCAGAAGAAGCTCCAGGTACCTGGTTTCGGATTGGCTCAATTTCGGCAGTTGTGGCCACTTGGGGAGAGAATCAGTGGGCGGAATCTTCCTCTCCTCAATGTATATCTGATTTTCCAATAAAAATTTAAAAAAAAAAAGTTTTTTTTTTAAATAATAGTGATTCGCGGCCAGTACAATAGTGTAGTGGTTAAAATCCTCACCTTAAACGTGCCAGGATCTCATATGGGCGCCGGGTCGTATCATGGCTGCCCCGCTTCCCTTCCAGCTCCCTGCCTGTGGCCCGGGAAAGCAGTCGAGGATGGACCAAAGCTTTGGGACCCTGCACCCGCGTGGGATACCAGGAAGAAGGTCCTGGATCCTGGCTTCGGATCGGCATAGCATCCGCCGTTGCACTCACTTGGGGAGTGAATCATCGGACGGAAGATCTTCCTCTCTGTCTCTCCTCTCTATCCGCCTTTCCAATAAAGAAAATAAAAAATAAATCTTTAAAAAAAAAATCTTTAAAACCCAAGTGACCCTCAGGTCCTCTCCATAACTAACAGGGTCACCGTAACGATGGAACCTCAGGTTTGTCTCCTTTCTGCATCCCACATTTCAGTTACACCAGATCAGCTGACATTTCCCAAACCCAACTGACACTTCCCCACCTCTGCCACTCTGTCCGAGCTGCTTGTCCTCGGCCCTCTATCACCACACCTGACAGTTTCGCCCCTTTTACCCTTCAGCACTCCATTCACACAGTCCCTGTGCATCCTTTACTCACACTGTTCTTACCTGAATTTGTTAGTTGCACCCTACTTTTGAAATCCTAAATTCCTTAATGACAGGATAATGGACACATGCTTGTGACTTCTATAGGATCAAAATTAAGTAAGTGAACATTAGGGTACTTAACGGCACAAAACACTTGTAGGACAAAAGACCTCAAAGAATATAAAAGGGCAAGTTTATTAGCGGTCATTTATTTGTTATGCTGATAAAACATTACATATGGCTCAGCTCATCCTATTAACAGGAAAAGGCAGTATGTAAAAAACCCAAGGTGGAGGTGGCGATGTTGTGGTTTAGTGGGTAAAGGTGTGCCTGTGACACTGGCATCCCATTCCTGCAATTCCACTTAGGATCCAGCTCCCTGTTCAGTTTGGGAATAGCAGCACAAGATGGCCCAAGTCCTTCAGTCCCTGCATTCATGTGGGAGACCCCGATTTAGGTCCTTTCTCCTGTTCTGACTGTTGCAGCCACCTGCAGAGTGAACCAGCAGATGGAAGCTCTTCTGCTTCTCTGACTCATTCAAATAAACTAAAAATCAAGGACAGGTACATTGGCTCAACTGGCTAATCCTCCATCTCAAACACCAGTGCTGGTTTGTGTCCTGGTTGCTCCACTTCCCATCCAGCTCCCTGCCTGGGGCCTGGGAAAGCAGCAGAGGAAGGTCCAAGTACTTGGGGCCCTGCACCTGTGTGGGAGACCACAAGAAGCTCCTGGCTCCTGGCTCAGCTCTGGCTGCTGTGGCCACTTGGGGAGTGAATCAGCACCCAGAAGAGTTTTGTCTCTGTAAATCTGCCTTTCTAATAAAGACAACAAAATCTTAAAAAAAAAAAAAAAATCACAAGAATTATCCAGTACAAAAATAATCAATCTGCAGTCAAGAACTTCTTGCTCAAACCTCTGGTCCTCCAGACAGGTCACTGGCCCTTCTTTCTGCCTGCTTCCCCTGTTACTACCTCATCACAACAAGGAGGAGTAAGACGTGTGCTAACACTGAGTATCACCCCTAGCCTCCTTTCCCAATCCACCACAATTAGCAGTAATTTGCCTGACTCATACAGTGAAGCAAAGTGCACTGTATGTCGAAGAATGAATTTTGTTTAATTTTAAAAGCAAAATTCATTACCTTTGCTTTCACAGATTTCTTGTGGGCTCTGAAACCATGGCTTGTGGCCATTGCATAATTCTAATGTGTTAAAAATAGGATATGTCTCAAGGTATATTCTCAAGAGCAGACTATACATCCTGAGGGATGGCTTGCAATCATCTTCACGGATAAAAAGAAACCAAACTCAGACCACTGGGAGAGGAGAACAGAGGCGTCCAGAAACAGTCAAAGGGCAATTAAAGGTCTTGAAGAACAAGGCACTCAGCTGAGACGAATGCAACCATTTCGCTGTAGCCAGACCTTTCTTAACCAGTGGAACTTAAGGCCAACAACCTCACAAGGTGCCATGCTTATCTAGGCCTTCTTTTTCTACTTATTATTCTTTTAACTTCCTCTATTACACTTCAGTTTCCTCAGTCTGTTAATCCACTTGCTCTCACTTCCAGGCTCAGTCAGAATTCCGAAGAGCCCTCAGGCCAACCCCACGCTCTACTGACATAAATTTGTGAATATGGCACGGCGGGGAATCTCTTTCTAGCCAAAACAATAAGTGTAAAAACTTGTAACCAGTATGAAGGAATAAAGTTTCCACCCATAAATGAGGACCAAGACTGCCGACCTGCAGGTCTCTTCTACATCTTACAAGCCAACCCAACAACAGCGATGAGGAACGTTGCACCTGCCAATCCACTGAAGAAAACTGGAAACACTGCTGGCAAGGGCAAGCCTTTACAACCTAAATCCGTCTGCCAAAAGCACAGAGCTACACCCAGGAAAGCGTCCAGCTGCAAGACGACTCTCTGCTGGGCGCGTGTGCCTGTGGCTATGGCAATGACAGTCATCAGGAGAACCAGCCTGTGTGTTCGCAGCACGCCGAAGTTAGATGACCTAACAAACAAGTTCTTGCCTCTCCGTGGTCACATCACCGACCTGTTGCACCACCTGGCAAGTGGTCTCCAGGATTTGAGGAAGGAGCACACCCCCCACCCCCCGCCATGATCTCTAAATTATTCAGCGGGGCTGTTTCCTTAATAAAATTCACCCTCATCCATTTTAATGAGGCTGCCTTGGAGGCCAAGAGGGTATTGGCTCCCGTTCACCTTCGAGGAGGCGCGAGCACGGAAATCGACGGCTCTGACTCTGGACTTGGGGAGTTTGTGAAGATCTGGGCATGAACACAGATGCACGGTTCGGCAGAGGCGCAGGAGACCGGAGCGCAGGAGTCCGGGCGCCGCGGCAACCCCGGGGCCCAGGAGGCTGCGGGGACGCGGGAACCGCGACCAAAGGACGCCGCCCGTCGGCCGGGGGGTCGGGCCCAGAGCCGGGGTCCGGGCCAAGCAGAGGGCGCGGGGGAAGAGGTGCAAGCCCTCGGACCCAAAGCCCCCGGAATGCCGGGCAGCGCCAACAGGGCACCGACCGTGCGAGGATTATAATGTAACACTCGTCCCCCGCCCCCACCGCGGGAGAACTAAGCTGGAAGGCGGAGACACCAGGCTACGAGACGCGCCCGGGGTTGGGGTCCCAGCCCACCCAGGCGACGGGAGGTCCGCGGGGAGGCCGCCGGCCTGGCCAGGGGCGCGGGGTCACACTCACCATGTCGTACACGTTGAGCACCACTAACTGGTTAGCCCCCATCCTCCTCCTCCTCCTCGCCGCCGCCGCCTCGTCCTCGAGCCGCTCCGTCTCCGCGGGGCCGGAGGCCGCCGTTGAGCCCCGCCGGGCGCTTAGGGGGGCCTGGGCCGAGCGCTAAGCTCGCAGCCGGGGCGGGAGCATCGGGCAGCCGGGCCGCTCCGGGGGCGCCGCCGACGGGAGCCTGTGCGGGGCCGGGCCGGACCGCTGGCGGGCCCCGCTCGGGCTCAGGCGCCTCCCCTCGGCAGCAGACACGTGGGGAAGGGAGGGGCCTGAGCGAGGGGCGGGCGCCGGGCGCCCCGGGGGCGGGGCCGGCCCGGCGCCGGGCTGAGGCCGCTTGCGCTGTGGTGCCGGGGCGCCGCTCTTCAGGACCTAAAATGGCGGCAGCCTCGGCATCTCGTCACCCTGGGAGCGGAGGGCCCCAGAAAGACTGCAGTTCCCAGCATGCTACTGGAAGCGCAAGGCGGTCTCAACAGTCTGGACTACAACTCCCAGCATGCTGCGCGGCTTCTGGCCCTACTAGGTTAGCTCTCCCGGGGAGCCTACATATCCCAGGCTGCAGTGCTTTGCACCTGCGGGGAGAATCCTTTCCTGCCTGTCCTTGGCAAGAGGTGAAGTCTACCTTGAACCGTGGCTGGTGGTGATGCTTCAGTGGCTGTTGATTGTATCGAGTTGAGCTCAAAGAAAACGGCACCATGTAGCCAGAACTGATGACCTTAAATTTCCTAAACTATTTTTCTTGTTTGTTTTTTAAATTTTTATTTTTCTTACTGTTCTTCACAAATTATCTCAAGGAATTCTTTCTTAATTTTTAATTTTACTTATTATTATGATCATTTAATGATACAGTTCCATAGGCCCTGGACTTTCCCTATCCCCACCCCAGTTCTCTTACCCCCCTCATTGAGTTCCTCTAAATCATTACTGTAGTATAGTTCTTCATACGCAGTCATATGTCCATCATTGTGTTGCAGGATTTTTGACTCCGAGTATGGCAGCAACCTCAAATTCTTGTCTTGCAGGAAAGAAGAATTTTCATGCGGACACAGTTTAGTTTTAAAGCAAGATTTATTAGAAAAGCTGAGAAGACTCCCGTCCTAGCGATGGGAGGGGGTTTTGAGATAGAAAGGACCCTTACCTCCTGCCATAGTGGCAGGAGGAAAAGTAAAAAAGAACCCTAGTGCTCTGCCATAGTGGCAGGAGGAAAATGAGAACCCGTATTAATGGTGGGGAATGCACCTTTTAAAGGTTTCCCTCAAAGATGTTTCTCCATAAACAAAATTCCTGGTTTCCATGGTACCTGGCCTTGGGACAAAAGGCCACAGAGGTGCCAGACATAGGACATTCCAGGCCTTGGGCAGATGTGTATTACTTCTTCCTGCTCTCCTTTCAATGATAAAGAGATCGGCCTGAGGCCCTCCCACAGTGGCCGGAGGTAATGGCCGATACTTCTGGTGGGGAATTGATATGCTAATAGCACCCCTGTCCCTAGGAAGAGACGTGCCCTGGCGAATCCAAGACATGGTGGGGAAATTCTCTTTCACTTGGGGACCCAGAATACCCTAACTGCCTACTACCCACTCTAACTCCTCTCTCAATTGTAGGCATGGGCAATTGCAGAGAGTCCAGCATCCTATTGTCAAGATATAGTAAACAGTTTCATTGGGAGTCCATCTTTGGAAGTAGAGATGCATACTGCATTGTATCTTCACATCTGGGTATGTTAGTCTCCATTACACACTTACTATACTTCCTCTTAAAAGCCACAATACAAAATCAACAACAGGAAGAAAAATAGAAATCTACAATGCTATGAAGTTAAATAACATGCTACTAGATATGATAGTCTCCATTACACAGTTACTATACATCCCCTTAAATGAAAAACCACAAAACAAAATCACCAACAGGAGGAAAAAAGAAATTAACAACACCAAGAGGTTAAATAATAAGCTACAGAATGACTAGTGTGTCACTGAAGAAATGAAAAAGAAAATCAGCCTTCTTGAAAATGATGCTATTGTATGTATTGTAAGGACTTATTCCAATATCCCACCCTGGACCCTGCCCCATTCCTTCTTCCTCACAGCTCACAGAATTCGCGCCAATCCAGCCATCCGCCAATCAGATGTAACCTGGCATTCCACCTGATAATCCCACCCCCAATCTCCCAGCCCCTTCCCCAACCCCGCCCACTCACCAATCATCCCCAGGCATTCACCTGCAGGCACCAATCCCCTGGGGCCTTGACCTCAATCCCTCCGAATCCCCGCCCCACACACCTGGCAGACAAAAAAGGCCCCCAGGTGCGGTTCGCTCTCTTGCTCTCTCTCCTTGGTTCCTCTCCCCTGCTCTTCCTCTCTCTCCTTCTTACCTCCCTTCCCCCCCCTTCCCCTGTTCCTGCCCCACTCGGCGCTCGCGCTCTCTCTCTCTCTCTCTCTCTCTCTCTCTCTCTCTCTCTCTCTCTTTCTCTCTTTCTCTCTTTCTCTCTTTCTTTTTCTCTCCTCCTCTCTCCTCTCTCTCTCCCTCTCTCTCCTCTTCTTGGTTCCTCTCTTCCCCTCTCTCCTCCTTCTGGCCTCCCTCCCCCCCTTCCCTTTCCCCTTTCTTCCCCTTCCCCTATTCCTGCCCCGCTGGAGTAAACTTCCTAAGATATGTCGTTGCGTCTGGTGTTTTCAGCTCACGGCAAAGAACCAGGTTGCGGGAATTAGCTGCGTGTAAAGTATCTTAATATCGTATGATCTAGAACTAGAACTCTTCCACTGTTTTAAATAACTAACATGTATCATTGAAGAATTTAATGAGAAAAAAGTGTTTTAAAGAGATGAAACTAACAAAAAAAACCAAAATCTGTAAGATATAGTTTCCACTGATCTTTGTTGGTGAGATCATTTCTCCCGTAGGCAACAAACAGATGTTTTTTTTTTTAATCCAGTCTACTAATTTATGATGTCTGGTTGATGAAATTAAGCCTTTTACATTCAGGGTTCAAATACATGGGTGGTCTTAAGATATTTTTCATCAAGAGATGTTGGGGGATAAAGAAAGTGTTACTGGTTCCCGTAATATACATCCAGTTAGTCCTTTATGTGGGGCTTACATTTTATGTAACTACTCTGCTGAGTTGGCAAAAGGATACAGGACTGGCAGGTTAACGTAACCCTGGGATACAGAGGCGCTTTTGTATTTAACAAGTATTTGTGTTCTGACCGTATGCAGGCACTGGGTAGGGGAAATCTAGAGCACAGGAAGGGGCAGAGTTGGGGAGCTTTACTAGAAAAAATGTTTCAACCACACTGATGGCCTGGAGGGCTAGGTACAGCTGCAGATGTGTAATAATGGCATGGAAAGCAAGGAAGATAGGGGCCCAATTTGTGGTGCCCAGCAGGTTAAGCTGCATCCTGCATTGTCACTTATCCCACATGAGCATTGTGTTTGCGTACACAGGGAAAGCAGGCAACATGGCCCAAAGTATTGGGCCCCTGGCTACTTCCAGAGCAGAGCATAATGGAGTTTCAGACTCGTGGCTTTGGCCTGGCCCTGACCAGGCCCATTTGGCCATTTTGTGGAGTGAACCAGCAGATAGAAGATCTCCCAATGACTAGGGCTGGGCCAGGCCAAAGCCAGGAGCCAGGAACTTCTGGATCGCCCACATGGGTGGCAGGAGCCCAAGCACTTGAGACACCTTTATTAGCAGAGAGCAGCATTGGAAGTGGACAGCCAGGACACAAAATAGCCACCATATAGGATGATGGCATTGGGCGTGGTGGCTTTTACTTGCTACACCACGATACCAAACCCTGCTTAATGCCATCTCTAAGTATCTTTCTACCAGGGATGATGAGGGTAAGTCCTGAGCAGTCACAGCTCATTCAGGCCTGCTACCCTCTTTGTATAAACTGCTGATTCGCTCAGCTGTGCACCCTTTGTGAGCTCACCAACTCACAGCTGTGCACACTCAACAGAGCTGAGACTCAAAGCTCAACCCTCCGCTCGCTGTTGAGTGTTGCCTGAGCTGCAGTCTGTTCCGCTTCTCTCCCAGGATGTGTTAACCGTGGTAACGAATCACTGCAAGCCCAACGGCCTAAAACACTCATCTGTTAGCCTCCCATTGTGGCTCCCAGAAGCCCAACAGACGGGCTCCACCGGCTAAAATCAACACCCGTGTTCCTTGTAGAGGCTCTGTTGCCTTTTACGGCGTCTGAAGGTCATCCTCATTCTTTGGTGTCATGGCCAAACCACTCCAACCTCTGTTCACCTCATTACATCTTTTTTGACTTTATCTCACATGGAAAAGATTGGGCCCACCTGGATAATCCTGCCTAATCTTCCCATCTGAAGCTCCTTAATCATGCCTGCTGAATCCTCTTTTCCTGTGAAAGGTACTATCCCGTGGATTCTGGGAACCACAATGTGAACATCTCTTGGTCACTGTGAATTTATCAGGGGCAAAATAGAATTCATCATCTCATGACTGGGTGAGTTTTACTGCTCATCTAATTTGAGTATCAAACTGTTGTAGGGTTGTTTGACCCTGAATATGGCAGCAACCTCAATTCTTGTCTCGCAGGAAAGAAGAATTTTTGTGCGGACACAGTTTAGTTTTAAAGCAGGATTTATTAGAAAAGTTGAGAAGAGAGGCTCCCGTCCTAGTGATGGGAGGGGGCTCTGAGATATAAACTTGTCTTGGGAGAGACGTGCTCTGGCGAATCCAAGACATGGTGGGGAAAAATACCCCTTTATATTTGAGGAAAAATGACTTGGGGACCCAGAATACCCTAACTGCCTACTACCCAGTCTTAACTCCTCTCACAAAACCAATAATGGAAAATAATCATTACTCATTCAGTCGTGGAGCATATATTAAATGTGTGCCTTTTATGTGTCAGCCACTGAGTATCACTACTTCATTGGTGGCGAAATGGATGTGGTTCCTATCCTCATGAAGCTTACCAGATAGTGAAATACACATACAAATGCTAGCTTGTCTACAGTTTAAGTTGAAGGAGACAAACAGTAATTGAGTATATAGCAAGAAAACTTGGTAGTTGTCAGGAGACAGGTTAATGAAGAAATTTTAAAGAATAGTAAATAAAGTAATGTAGACCTAGGTATATATGAAGATATTAAATAGCCACGTCCCACATTGAGGTTAGCCGGCTCAGGCCTGATGATTAAAAAATAGCAGCATGACCCAAGAACAGAAGTCAATACATGACTGTCTCAAGATTATCTTCACA